CTTAATTTATCTTTATTTATTCTTTTGTGATTTTCGTCTGTTTTTGAACGCTTAAATGCTGTCTTTTGAGAAATTGGGGGAAGTTCAAAGGAAGAGTTGAAGATTATTTTTTTCGTTTGTTTTTTTATTGATTCGTTCTGGTTCGATTTTATTATTGTCTTTTTCTTTTTCTTTTGTTTTCTTCTTGTCTTTTTGAGAAATTGGGGGAAGTTCAAGGGAAGAGTTGAAGATTTTTTTTTTTTTGTTTTTTTTTTTTTTTTTTTTTTATTGTAATTCGTTATGTTTTCGATTCTGTTATCTTTTTTATCTTTCTACTGTTTTTTTGAAAAACTCGTTTTTTAATTATATTTCTTTCTGTTTTAGATTTTATTATTGTCTTTTTATCTTTCTTTTGTTTTCTTCTTATGATTTTCGTCTGTTTTTTCGAGCGCTTAAATGCTGTCTTTTTGAGAATTTTTGGGAAGTTCAAAGGAAGAGAAAGATTTTTTTTCTGTTGTTTTTTAGTATATTTCTTTCTGTTTTAGATTTTATTATTGTCTTTTTCTTTTTCTTTTGTTTTCTTCTTGTCTTTTCTTGTCCTTTTGAGAATTTAGGGGAAGTTCAAAGGAAGAGTCGATTTTTTTTTCTTATTTGTTTGTTATTTTAATTGTATTTCTTTGTTTTAGATTCTTTCTGTTTTTGATTTTTGTTATCATCTTTTTTTATCTTTCTTTTGTTTTCTTCTTATGATTTTCGTCTGTTTTTGAGCGCTTAAATGCTGTCTTTTGAGGAATTGGGGGAAGTTCAAAGGAAGAGTTGAAGATTTTTTTACGTTTTTGTTTTTATTGTAATTGTTATGTTTTCGATTCTGTTATCTTTTTTATCTTTCTACTGTTTTTTGAAAAAAAATCGTTTTTTTTATTATATTTCTTTCTGTTTTAGATTTTATTATTGTCTTTTTATCTTTCTTTTGTTTTCTTCTTATGATTTTCGTCTGTTTTTGAACGCTTAAATGCTGTCTTTTTGAGAAATTGGGGGAAGTTCAAGGGAAGAGTTGAAGATTTTTTTTCGTTTGTTTTTTCGTTTTTTTGTGTGTAATTCGTTATGTTTTCGATTCTGTTATCATCTTTTTTATCTTTCTTTTTTCTTCATATTTTAGCCTGTTTAAAAGAAAAATCGTTTTTTTAATTATATTTCTTTGTTTTAGATTTTATTATTGTCTTTTTATCTTTCTTTTGTTTTCTTATTATTTAGCCTGTTTGAGCGCTTAATACTGTCTTTTTAAGAATTTGTGGGAAGTTCAAAGGAAGAGTTGAAGATTTTCTTTTCTTTTTGGTTTGTTATTTTTGTTATTATATTTTTTTTGTTTTAGATTTTGTTATTATTTTATCTTTCTTTGTTTTCTTCGTTTTTCTCTTCTCGTTCTCTCTGTCTATTTTTTTTACTTATTCTGTCTTTACTCGCTATTTTTTGTTCGTATCCTCTTTCTTTCTTTCTTTTTCTTGTTTTGCCTTTTCTTGTTCTCATTATTTATCTTTTTTCTTCTTTATCTTCTTTTCTTTAATCATAAACGAAATTATAATTGATGATGATTATAAAGATAATACATATATAATTCACATAATAAAGAGAATTCTGATAATCGTAACTAAAATTCCAACCGAACTCGATTTTATTTTTGGAAGATTTCGTTCGCCACAAATTTCCTCGAATCGTTTCAGCAGAAATCATTGAATCGACCCGGCAAGAACCGAACCGAATCGATCCGTCCCGACCCGATCTGTCCCGACCCGACCCGAGCCGACCCGACACGACCCGTGCTGATCCGACCCTTCCCGTCCAGACTTGACCCGACTAGTTTCGACACGACCCGACCCGTCCGACCTGTTCTACCGACCCCGACCCGACCCGACCCGTCCCGACCTGTCCCGACCTCCGACCCGACCCGACCCGTCCCGACTCACCCGACCCGACCGACCCGACCCGAACAGGCAAACGTCACCGGATTAGCTTTTCCCCGACTGCGATCAAATCTGCCTTTATAGGATTAATTCTAGCGTCAAATAAGAGAGGGAGAGAGGGAGAGAGAGAGAGAGAGGGAAAGAGAGAGAGAGAGGGAAAGAGAGAGAGAGAGAAAGAGAGAGAGAGAGAGAGTGAAAGAAGGAGAGAGGGATATGGAGGGAAGGAGAGAGAGAAGGAGAG